AAAGGCAATGAAAAATGATAATTAAAGGGTCATTTTAATAACATGATAAACTGACGGTTAAAAAAATAACATGATAAACTTAACTGCAAGTCAGTCCTTTCATCCATTCATGCAAATATCTTGCTTTTGGGATCCTTGAATGATATTCTCCCTTTGACAAAAGTTAGATGCTATGTAAAATACTAAATAACCATGTTTTTTTGCATTATAAACTAAAAGTAAGAAGCTTAGAGAGAGAGGGAGAGAGAGAGAGAGAGAGCCACTTGATGCGCAATTTTATTTAAGCATCACAAAGTGCAAGGAATTTATTAAGCTTAATCCTGCACATTACTTATTCATAGTCGATTTCACTTCACATGATAGAGGCTCTGCGTGCATCAGATGATTTAGCTTTGATGAAAATAGCAATAAGCGGATAATCACCAGTGATAACTAAAAGCAAGTTTCCATCATTGCCTCTGGCAATCCCAAGATCTCTGCAAGAATCACCATAATGGGACAGAACACAATCTTATAAGTGAAGAGAGTATATGGTTGAATCCTTAACGAACCCTGCAGAGTTTTCTCGTACCCACTACTGATTTTCACAAACTTCACCCCACCTTCTTCAACAATAGTCCACTTGGACGACATAGGAACATAGGATGGTACTTTTCCCTCAACAGAGAGAAGTCCACATTAATGCTTGGTGTGCCGTATCTAATTTTTAATGGGGATGTAACTGTCCAAGGCAAGCCGTAGTGAGTATCAATGGAATATGGGAGTTGCACAACACTATGAGGGCAAGTTTCATTTCCAGTCTTGGTGAGATCCAAGCCACTGCCTACTGGCTACATATGTGGAAGGATATAATATGAGCCACCATCTCAATGGGCTTGCCTTGGCTGTTAATAGAAACTTGGCTGTGGTTGAAGAAGTGAAGAAGGCAAAAAGAACGAAGAGGGAAAACAAGGAAGGCTTCATTATATTGAATGTTGAGCTTTTGTTTCTTGGGATGTGTTATTGTGTGGAAACGAGAGGATGGAGGGTTCCATTTATAGAGCTTATTTCTACCAAAAGGAGGTGTAGTTTAGATATTCATCGATGCAAATTGACCCAAATAAAAGTAATATATCACATTTTGGAATAGGCACAGGCACGTGAACTCTACCTAGACTTGTGGCTTAGGATCTAAACTAGGGAAGCAAGATGAGAAGATATATTTTGGGTGAGTCGGACTTATAGAAGGCTGACAAATATACGATAAAATTGATATTAATACCAATATTTGATAAAATGAAAGTATTCATAACCTCTTGCTAATTTGACTTGTTAGGAATGAGGGGTAACTGCTTGAAAACAAGAGAGAGAACAGATGATCAAAGAATAGTGGAAGAATATTATATCTTAACTCAAAACTTTTAAAGTTTAAATTGATAAGTCCTTTCTTTTTATTTTTATTTAGTCATAAAGTTCAACTTTATCCAATAAATATGAAATTTTTTATATTGACTCAAGTCCACTTATAGTTAGACAATCCAACAATTGCAGGTGAGTGTGTGGAAATAGTATCTTTTAATTAAGAAATAGAGTGGAAGGACAAGAGCATTTGCAAGAAGGTATTTGTGAAATTATAGTAAAAATGTTAAGAAGTTTTCTTGGTTTATGTAAAGTAAATACTTTTTGTGGCAAGAAAAATAGACAACTTTATCTTCTAAAAATATCCGAGAAAGTATAACTTTTAGTGTGGATGGAAAGGCCGACCGACAATTGTGTGGAAGGAAGAAAAGATTACGTAGAAGCATATCAATTGGGAATAAAAATTTCGTCTTGTTTCTAAGTGAAGCTTATTCTCAAATAATAAATGGAAACAAATAATACTTATGAGACAAATTATGAACATTGATTGTGAAAGAGAAATATGGAGAAATGGTCCTCTGTTTATTTTGTCACGAGCTTATTCAAGTAGGGAACTGAAAACTACGTGTTTGTCTGCACCTATACACTTCCGTCCAGCCAACACGTTTAGCGACTAAACTTTTTCTGTTATTTGTGAACCGGTAAATTCCACCCACAAGTGAGAACTAAAATCGTCTATAATATATTGGGATATATTCTTTTTTGGGGGAAAAATGAAAATTGGAGTATCACAATTTTTATATAATTTTGGTATATCCTGACACCAATGTGAGTAAATGGAGGAACATCCCAGCGTCAGCTTTCGGATTCTCATGCATGCAGTAGAATGGATTTTTGGTTTAGACGTCCATGTTGTTTAAAGTCTTTATATTCAGTATATTGAGAGTAATCCACTTCACCAAAATAGTTTAAGTCATTTAATTACATATATTCTAACTTTTATATATTCTTAATCCATCTTAATTAATAGATGTAAGACTCTTTATTTATTTTAAATATAATATATATATACTCTCTATTACTTTTCTTTTCTCATTTTATTCTTGCCTAGCCTATATGTTTATTCAATTTTTTTCTCTTTTCTTTCTTTCTTTTTTCTTAATTTCTTTTTTTTTTCAGCTTTCATTCATTCTTTTTTCTCTCTATTTTTTTTGTCCCCAATTGAATGGCTCATGATGCCATGCTAATGCTAAACTCTTTATATAAGTAAGTTTGAGGGTAGTCTACTTTTCCAAAATAATTTAAGTCATTTAGTTAAACATACCCTAAACTATATATATTCTTAATTAATTTCTAATTACTAGATATGGGACTTTTATCTCTTTTTTATATAATATATGCAGCTGTTCCCTCCACAATTCAAGAAAAAGGGCATATTATACTCAAGTGCCCATCTTAATTTACACTTAATAACACAGCCTTTCCCTCTATTCTCATAACAATTGCATCATTTCAAACTCTTATAAAATCCATGTATCTTCTTTTATCTATTCATCTTTTACTTGAAAAAAAAAATTAAAAACAAAACAATCTCGTTATCTTCGTAAAATATGTCATATTCTACTAGTTTCATGCTCTGATTGCCTCTCCATGATGACAGGACTAAGTCTCAATATATCTCAACAATAATTCCCCAAACATTTTATTATTGTTATCTTCATGAAATTTGATTCCAAAGAAGGACCGCTTATATTATGATGTGTGGAGAGCCTATATATCTAAAATGTAATTTCGAAAATGGTTTCCTTGTCGATAATGTGAATTTTATAAATTGTTCATTTAAGAAAGATAGAAAATTTAATGTTTCTAAAAATTATATAAAAATATAAAAATTTATATAAATTCATGTATACAATTTTAGAGATTTGGTCTCATGTAATCAACTGTAAATCAATAAATTGCAGGAAACTTTGTTAATTCATTTCACTTTGTCATAAATAAATGAAGGGGCCATTTGTTTAAGTATTTTTTTGTAAAAAATAATCACTTAAAACCAATTTAACATGTTTGTTTAAGATTTAAAAAATAATCAGAATCTAAAAAAATCAGATATTTGTTTATTTGGAGAAGTTAAAATGAATGAACTTTTGAAATAAGCCCCCGGCAAGATGGGAGAGAATCTAAAAACACGGCTATTTTCACGGGTCCTTTTCAATGTTTTGTGACTTTGCCCTTCGCTTCGTCTTCTGTCTCTTCTCTCCTCTCAAGCCTCAACGTTAGTGATCTTCTCTTCCCTCTCCTCCAATCTGCTTCACTTATAGATGCGCGCGCACGCGCGCACACACACACCCTACTCATCCTCACAAATTAGAAGAATATGACCCTCATAAGCTGCAATCTATGGAGCTATGGGAGCTATACTTTTCCATCCAATCTTCTGTCATAACTGCTCGGCTAAGACTGATTCATATTCCTGACTTTGCCATATTCTATTCAAGAGAGTCTTTGCATTTCTCTCTCTCTCTCTCTATCTCTCTCTCTCTCTAATCTGCTTAAATTTTTTATGTTAGTTTCTTAATTTATTGAGTTCTTATTGTTATAAATGACAACATATCTAAGAGACGGTGAACTGGGTGTTTATCAAATTTTCATTACTTCAAAACTTTAGTAGAAAACAGGGTATACGTGTATACTTGAGCAAATTTAATTTATAAGCTTCGTTTTCTTTCCAAAAAATACTTAAACAATTATTACAAGATTGACGCTTGTACTAATGATAGAAATCAAACTTCAAGTGAAATCTTAGAGTATAAGAATCAAATTAATCCTGGTTCAACTCTATACACACTTTAGCAATTATGTCAATTCCCTAGCAAATCACTTAAGATTTCTTTACTTTTGAATCAAGCAACTGTGAGCCAACCTTAATTCTGTAGAGATATCTCTCATCCTTACTGTTACAACAGATAATGGAAGAAGATTCACTCAATAAAAATTCTCTCAAGGAGTATGATGAATATAATGAAGTTCTAATTCTCAATGACAAAGAGTGAAATATTTTAGCTCAAGGAAGATGATTTTCGTATAATAGAAGAAATTATTTAAATTTCAGAACTCAACATTTTTTTTTATTGTTCAACTTAGTTAAACATTGAGTTTGTAGTGGTGTTGTAGTTATAAGCCATTGAGTAATATAGGCATTAGAAACAAAAATTAGCAATTTATGATTGTTGGGAAACTTTTTTCTGAATCATTAACACCTCAGGATGGAAGTTGACTCGTTAAAATGGCTTGGAGGAAATTTTGTTAAAACGAATGTTAATGCGTTGAACTGGAAGATGCTTAAAACCAAAGTCTTGAAATCCACATGGCACGTTAAAAGAATGCATTAACAAGTTAAAATAACGTCAGAGAAAAATGATAATTCAAGGGTCATTTTAATAACATAATAAGCTTAACTGCAACTCAGTCCTTTCATCCATTCATGCAAATATCTTTTTTTTTTTTTTTTTAATCCTTGAATGGTATTATCCCTTTGACAAAAGTTAGATGCTATGTAAATTACTAAAATATCCATGTTTTTCTGCATTATAAACTAAAAGTAAGAAGCTTAGATATATATATATATATATAGAGAGAGAGAGAGAGAGAGAGACTTGATGAGCCACTTGAAGTGAAATTTTATTTAATTATCACAAAGTGCAAGGAACTTGCAAAGCTTAATCCTGCACATCACTTATTCATAGTCGATGACACTTCACATAATAGAGGCTCTACGTGCATCAGATGATTCTGCTTTGATGAACACAGCAATAAGAGGATAATCATCAGTGATAACCAAAAGCGAGTTTCCATCATTGCCTCTGGCAATCCCAAGATCTCTGCAAGAATCACCATCAATGGGACAGAACACAATCTTATAAGTGAAGAGAGTATATGGTTGAATCCTGAACCAACCTCGCAGAGTTTTCTCGTACCAACCACTGATTTTCACGGACTTCACCCCATCTTCTTCAACAATAGTCCACTTGGATGGCACAGGAACACAGGATGGTACTTTTCCCTCAACAGAGAAAAGTCCACATTGGTGCTTGGTTTGATGTATCCAATTTTTAATGGGGACGTAACAGTCCAAGGCAAGCCGTAGTCAGGAAAAATGCTAGTTGGGTGTTGCACAACACTAAAAGGGCAAGTTTCATTTCCAGTCTTGGCGAGATCCAAGCCACCAGGTCCTGGCCAGATAGGTCCAGTGATGTAGTATGAGGCACCATTCACAATGGGTTCGCCCTGACTGTCAAGGAGAAACTTGGCTGTGGTTAAAGAAGTGAAGAAGGAAAAGAGAACCAAGAGGGAAAACAAGGAAGGCTTCATTATATTGAATGTTGAGCTTTGTTTCTTGGGATGTATTTTTGTGTGGAAATGAGAGGATGGAGGGTTCTATTTATAGAGCTTATTTCTACCAAAAGGAGGGGCAGTTTGGATATTCACCGATGCAAATTGACCCAAATAAAAGTAATATATCACATTTTGGAACAAGCACAGGCACGTGAACTCTATCTAGACTCGTGGCTTAGGATCCAAACTAGGGAAACAAGATGAGGAGGGAAGCGCGGATCCCCTGCGCATCTCTCCCCTCCGCGGCCCTGCGCCGCCTCTCTGTTTCTCGTTTTTTTTTTTCCTTCTCTCTTTTCTTTTTTCTTTTCTACATCTCATTTCTATCCCTAGACAAGACAAAGAACATCCATACTAATCTTAAACCCTATTATATTGAATTGTTATTATCAATTACAGCTTCGCAGGTATCTTAAAAATATTTTTGTCATATTTATTTAATGTGTCGCATATTTCAAGACTTGAATTCAATATCATATTGATAACGTAATTTAACTCTCTCAACCAGTTAAATCAAATACATCTCGATAAAATAAATAAATAAATAATTTTGAACTATCAAAAATTAACTTACAATGTTGAAATAAAATAAATAAATAAAAATTTCATTTATAACAAAATTAATAATGATATATAACTGTGAATTATGCAGGTCAAATTTTAACAATCTAAATTTAATTATTTTTATATGATAAGTACTTTATAAAATAATTAATTAAACTTTTTTAGTAAAAAAGGTTAAATCTGAGCCATTCATTTTATTATTCAAGGGTGTAGATGAGATGAGGGGAAGAAAAGGAGAGAGGGGATTATGAGAAGATCGGGACTGATAAGGAGATACATTTTGGGTGAGTTGAACTTACAGAAGGCTGACTAATATATAATAAAATTGATATTAATACCAATATTTAATAAAATGAAAGTATTCATAATAACCTCTTGCTGATTTTACTTGCCAGGAATGAGGAATGACTGTTTGGAAATAAGAGAACAAATGATCAAAAATAGTAGAAGAGCACTACATCTTAACTCAACACTTTAATGTTCAACTTGATAAGTCTTTTTTTTTTAATTATTTATTTGTTGTAAAGTTCAACTTTATCCAATGAATGTAAAATTTCCTATATTGACTCAAGTTTGGTCATGACTAAACAATCTAATAATTTTAGGCGAGTGAGTGGAAATAGTACTTTTAATTAAGAAATAGATTGGAAAGTAGATACTTTTTGTGGCCAAAAAATAGATAACTTTATCTTGTAAAAATATCCGAGAAAGTATAACTTATATGTGGATGGAAAAGGCCAACCGACAATTGTGTGAAAGGAAGAAGAGATTACATAGAAGCATATCAATTGGGAATAAAACATTGGTCTTGTTTCTCAGTGAAATTATCCCTCAATCATTAAGTGGAAACAAATAATACTTATGAGACAAATTATGAACATTGATTGTGAAAGAGAAATATGGAGAAACGGTTCCCTGTTTATTTTGTCACGAGCTTATTCACATAGGGAACTGAAAACTACGTGTTGTTTGCACCTATACACTTCCTTCCAGCCAACACGTTTAGGGACTAAAACTTTTTGTATTATTTTGTGAACCGGTAAATTCCACCCACAAGTGAGAACTAAAATCGTCTATAATATATTGGGGTATATTCTTTTTTAGAAAAAAAAATGAAAATTGGGGCATCACAATATTTTATATAATTTTGGTATATCTTGACACCAATATGTGTAAGTGGAGGAACATAACTTTGTAGAGTCAGCTTTCGGATTCTTATGCATGCAGTAGAATGGATTTTTGGTTTAGATGTTCATGTTGTTGAACTCTTTATATTAAATATATTCGAGCAGAGTAGTTTACCTCATTAAAATAGACTAAGCTATTTAGTTAGATATGCCTTAAACTTTATATATTCTTAATTCATCTTTCAATTACTAGATGTGGGACTCTTTATTTCTTTTATCTCTAATATTCTCTCTGCTACTTTTCTTTTTTCATTTTATTCTTGCTTGGCTTACACTTTTTTTTAGTCTCAAGCCCTCATGTTTATTCAATTTTTCTTCTCTTTTTTTTTTCTCTTTTTCTAATCTCCTATTTTTTTCTTCCATCTTTCATTCATTCTTCTCTCTGTCTCTCTCTCTCTCTGTGTTTTACGTCACCAATTAAATGGCCCATAATACCATGCTAAACTTTTTGTATTAAGCATGTTTAAGGAAAATCTACTTCACCAAAATAATTTAAATAATTTAGTTAGACATACCCTAAATTTTATATATTCTTAATCCATCTTCTAATTACTAGATGTAGGACTTTTTATCTCTTTTATATACAATACGCCCTCCACAATTCAAGAAAAAAGGGTTGATATTATACTTAAGTGTCCATCTTAATTACACTTAAGAACATATGCTTTCCCTATATACTGATAAGGCTCCATTTCATAATTGGGCTTTTATATGACCTAGATCCACCAATAATAGAAAACCCAATAGTTAGATAGAACATAAATAACATCATAATAAACAATATCTCACAACAATTGCCTTATTTCATAAAATCCACGTATCTTTATCTTTTTTTCTTTTACTTGAAAAAAAAAATAAAAAAAAAAACAAAACAATCTCATTATTCATTATCTTCACGCTCCACTAGTTTCATGCTCTAATGGCCTCTCCATGATGACGGGACTAAGTGTCAATATATCTCAACATTAATTCACCAAACTCTTTATTATTGTGACTTAACATATAAAACTATCAAAACCTGCTCGTGTGAAATGGAAGTGGCACTCTCGCTCACTAGGCATGCCAAAAAGAGTGTCTTGTCTTCAGTCAACATGTCGATTTCAAGATCCTTTACCTCATTTCTCTTAAGCCTTTCTGCTCCATGTAGTCCATTGGGCCTGTCTTGGATCTATCTCCCTTATTTACCAAGCTCAATATCTGCTCCAGGACCAACACATATTTAGGCCCAACATTCTCTCCCACGTGGAAGGATTGCGTGCTCTGGATTGGTTTAGCCACCTCCGAGTGCTACGTGGTTCACCCTAGCTTGACACGGGTCAAAGATGTGCGCACGTTTTTGGCTGCTCATCGTCTCTTGCGTCGGGCGCTTCATCACCTCAAAAATGTGGGGTATTTTGGTACATAACTCTATAATATTAATACTGAAATAAATTTCCCCTTATAGTACAAAAACTTCCAAACTCAAGGCCTGAAGATGATGATGATGATAAGTATATATAAACAGTGACGGTGCTAGGATCGTGAGTTAATGATGCAATATTTTTTAAATTAATAATTTATAAATAATTTAAGAATTTCATAACAAAGAAAGACATGTCTATATACCTTGCATGATTTTATGTTTTGAAATTGTTGAATAATTATCTCATTGTTGATATTGAAAAAAAATATTTTTAATATAAATCACTAGACAATTATTCCTTAATGAATCTGTCACGTATGATTTTGTAATTAATTTTTTACAATTTTTTTAGTAGAAAATGTTCTTTTATCATTTCTGTAGCAACCGATAATATTATTGATAATATTATTGTTAACTTCAAAAAGTGAAGGGACCACACATTCCATACCCGACACCAACAAACAAATCACTATATCATATACAATTTTTTATTCTAAAGTGTTGATGACAAAGTGTGCCAAGATTAAGAATATTGACAGCGTTAATTCAGTGAGATACTGTGGTAGCTTCTTTCTTCATCTCCTCCTCTTTCTATTTCTTTATCTCCCTCTCTCTCTTGACTCTTCCATCAGCAGCGTCGGTGTTTTGGGTGTTTAGCTTCAGCGCAGACTTCGTTATTCTTCTTTTCTTTCCGCAGCGAGATACAAAACAGAATGGCAGAAGCAGAACGCACAGCCACTCCCCCCCCCCCAACCCTCAAAAATCAAGGTATTATTTTAATTTTTTTTCTAAACCCCAAAAAATAATATCAGTTTATGTTATAATAAATTTATTTTTAATAAAAATAAGATTAGTGTTTGGGTTGTTACATTTTTTCAGGTTTCAGCTAAATATATTTATTTATTTTTTGGAATCTAAACATCTTTAAAGTTGGGTTAAGAGGTGCAAAATATTTACACCAAGAGATGCAAAGAAGTGAAATATATGAACTCTCTTTGTAATTTTCTCTAAGTTAAGAGGCTGCATTTGCCCCTTGACTTTTACAAAGTGTATGTAAGCCCACTAGGCCACTATTATTTATTTGTTTGTTTGTTTGTTTATAATGAGCGTGCATTTTATTGTATTTCATTGTTTAAAAATAAGAAAAAATGATAATAAAACTCTCTAAAATATATAAATGATAATTTGGTCCCTCGAAATGCAATAATTCCCCTGAAATTTTTAGAAGCTTTTTCGTCATTAATGAATTTATATAAATTATCAAATTATCTTTATTGAAAATAAATGATTTATAAATTTTGTTTAAATATTCACAACTTTCTTTCTTATATTTACAATCAATGTTTAAAGACTCGGACCGACCCGAACGGTCGGACTGTCGCCCGTTGAAGGAAGCGAGTTGGGTCAACCAATTAACCCGTATTAGCTATTGACCCGAGTTGGCTTGTCTGAAACTGAACGGGTTTTATAAACTTGGAAAAGAATCGAAACCCGGAGCGATTTGAATGGGTTAGAAGCTGGTCAAAGGAGGGACATGATTAGTATTTAAAAAAAAACCTTATCGATGTCGGGTTCTCGCTTGGACAATTAGATTCAGATTTC